ATATAATATATATAAAATGTAAAAAATTATATATAAAATATCAGGATAAAAATTATATATGAAATGTAATTACTATTTTTTTTAAACCTATGCATTTGAAAAAAGACTGGAAGGAAATCCACAGAAATGTCAACAGTACTTGTGCTTGGGTGATGAGATCATGGCTGACATTTTCTTTTCTTCATATGCTAAATCTTACTTAATGAGTATGCACGACGTTTACAATGAAACAATTTTTAAAAAGAAAGGAAATAAATGGGAAGGAGCATTGCTTAGAGGTAAAGAAACGGCAGAATTAGAGCAGTTAGTTACCATTTAGTAAGTGCTATAATTAAACTTTTACCCTCCCAAGGAACTTTTTAAGTGAGCACAAATGATAACTAAGTTACAGAATATTTGTACCGGAGGAACATCCTACCTAATTCTGTCATTTGACAGGTACAGAAAAAAAATTATAGTTGTAGGATGCTTTACAGTTTACAAAGTGCTTTCAAAATGTCGTATCACTTGTCCTTCAAACAATCTTGTGAGATAGGTTCATATGCCCCATTTTAAGGTTCGGGAAACTGAGGGCGCGAGAGAGAAGGTGTATCTACCACTTATCGAATGTTTACTATGTGCCAGCCGCCGGGTTAAGCACACCGATCCTGTGAAAATTATCACCATTTTACAGATAAGAAAACTGAAGGGCAGAGGTTAAGTTGCTCACTATCTTACAGCTGAGAGTCCCGGCTCTGACTCGAAGCCACACATTTAAAACAGGAGTCCCGCGTTATAATCAACCTCACTGAGTCCTTTAAAGGAAGAGCTGAGCCTGTGATCCAGCCCCGTGCTCTCTCTACAACACTGGTCTCCTCGCCCACGGTTTCTTTCAAGAGTTACTTAGTTTGACAGCCACTATGAAGGTCCAGAGGCAAAGGGACTGGGCCCAGTATTACCCAAAAACTAATGCTGGCGGAGAGCCTACGCCCTAGAAGGCAGGCAAGGCAGTGAATACTAGAGTGGAGGGGACAAGCTAACAAGTCTTATATACATCAAGCGGTAGCCCAAAGGAAACATACTCTCTACCTCAGGAGCAGGGACAGCAACGAAAACCACAATTCCTGCGCCCTACACTCGCGTAACTCGGTACCATTTCCAGAGCGCCTTTTGGTTCATCTCAAAGGATCCCCGCAACAACCCGAGGGCTGGGCGGGGCAGGGATTAGTACCATTTTACAGAAAAAGCTGGAAGAAACGCAACAGAGGACCAGGCAGGCAGAAAAGCAACGAGGGTAAGAGCTAGGAGTAGACGCCAAGGGGAACTGGGCACCCCGACCGAGTCTGAGGGGCACTCTCGAGGAACCACCGGCCACCGCCAAGTGGAGGGACAGCCCAAGGCCCACGGCAGGGACAGAGGCCCAGAGGGAAGCCATGGTGCTGAGGCTGTCATCCGCCGAGGCTCGGGGGGTGGGGCGTGGAGGTCAGCCCGGGAGCCTCGCTACTCACGTTGCACCAGCCGGTCCCCGGTGAAGGTGGAAGAGCAGCTGGTGACGAGCGCACAGGGGACGCCTGCAGCCATAGCCCCGCTCCCAAGCCAGTTCCGTGCGGAAGCCGCTTCCGCCTTGGGCTGCACCACGGCCGCCGGCGCGCGGGGGAGACACGCCAGGAAGGGCGCGTTCTCGGAACGGACCGGCTGCCCTGACTCCTCCCTCACCCCCTCTTCCGCTCCCGGCGTAGAACAGGCCGGGCTGCGCGTGGAGTTGCCATGGAGACAAGCACCCTCCGCAGTTGGTTTCCGCGGCTGGAGGCTGCGTCTCCCACGGGAGGTAGCCCTTATCCTCCTTAGCCATGGCACAGGGGAGTGAAAACTACGACCCCATCGGATCCATCTTAATCCAGGTGGGAAATGGGCCTTTCCTGGCCCTGCTCAGCTAAGACACTTCCAAGCGAGGCGCAGCGGCGCCAATCCACTTGCGTCCACCCATTTGGAGCGCCTCCCCCAGACTGCCTCTTTCGCGCGAGGGGCACTGCCCCTCAGAGAACTCCCCCAATATGCCAACCCAGATCTAGTCCACGAACCTAACACGCCTCTGGTGCCTTACTCTGGAGGTTGCGCTCCAGAAGCACGACCACTCTGCCTCTGGTATAACTTCAAAACCATACACCTCACACCCGAACCTTTACTTCGAAAAATCCACCTTACTCTGAGGCACCATGGTAAAATGTTATGTTGTGAAAAATTTGACCCCATGATGTGAGAGAGATACAAATTAGCCACATTGAGGAGGTGATAAGAAATTTGGGGAGAAGTTGAAATATGTGAACTGCTTTTCTTAAGCACCCAAATTTTTTGGATCTAAAAGTCCCTTGCAAATAAATGAGTCCTGGGGATGTAATGTACAGCATGATGACTATAGTTAATAATACTGTATTTTATATTTGAAAGTTACCAAGAGAGTAAATCTTAAAAGTTCTCATCACAAGAAGAAAGAAATTGTAATTATGTGTGGTGATGGATGTTAACTAGACTTATTGTGATGATCATTTAGCAATATATACAAATATTGAATCGTTATGTTGTATACCTGAAACTAATATATGTCAATTATATCTCAATAAAAATAAATAAATAAAATAGAAGTCCCTTGCTTGGGAACACACACATAGGAAAATATATTAAAGAGAATGAACGGATTGCAAATCAAGTTAAAGTTTTGAGTATGGAAATGTGACAAATTTAAAAACTCAGGGAAATAATTTTTTCTAATCTGAGGGGGAAATATTACAAGTCTTAACTTCTCCAGTACAACTCAGTTTGTGACAGTTAGACTCAGATTTTTCCAAAATGGTAAAAGCATTTTGTTGTTTTTTCACATTTACATGTGGTAGCTTTAAAACGTTTCCACATATCATCACTTTTAACTTTTATATTTAGCTCCATTTGACTAAGGCTTGAAATAATTTGCCTGTCACCCTCTCAGGACTCTCACTTAGATCTGCAATGGGTCTAATTTTTCTTCCTGCCAGGATTTTGGTCTCTTACCTCCCATCTGGGAGAGACTTCTTTAAATTCACCTTTTCCAAAATACAAACCCCTAAACTCACCAGTTTTATAGATTTCCTTATTATGAATCATACCCAAATCTTCTTACGTCACCTTTTATTATCCTCTCTTTCACCATCACCCTAGAATGAGTTTAGCCAAACTGCAAAGTCTGAGAGAACAGGCTCCACAAGACTGTCCTCCCTTTGACACTAGGCACAAGTTCAGGCGTCCCCAGAGGCATCCTCACCTCAGACCAGCTGTCTAGAAATTTGGGGGCCTGTGACCACCTCACACTGGCTAATTTGCTAGAGCAACTCACAGAGCTCAGGAAAGCACTATGCTTACAATTACAGTGTTATTATAGCAAAAGGATACAAATTAAAGTCAGCCAAGAAGAGACGCATAGGGCAGAGTCCGGATGGATCCAAACGAAGCTTCCAGTCATCTTCTCCCCGTGGAGTCATGGACTGCATTACCTCCTCCCAGCCACGATGTGTGACAGTATGCACAGAGTATTGCCAACTAGGGAAGCTTACTCGAGTCTTAAGTGTCCAGAGTTTTTACTGGGGCTCAATCACGCACTGCCCATGTGGCTGACCTTTAGTATCCAGCCAATCCTAGAGGTCAGACGTGCGTTTAGTCTCTAGTTCCTCTAGAGGTTGGAACTGATGGGAGCATGGCTCAAAGTCCCCATCATAAATCACATTGTTAGACTGTCTGGTGGCCAAAGCCCTCAAGCAAAGACACTCCTATCAAGCAGGACACTCGGGGGCCTAGAGATCACCTCCCAGTGTCCAAGGGCAAAGGCCAGACCTCTCTTTGGGAAAAGCTGAGAATAGTCATATCCATGCTGATCAGCACTCCCACTTGCTTAAAAGAGTTACTATGGGCACACTAGGTGGAGGGCTGAGTAGAGAAAGAGAGCCTACATGTTAACCTGATTATCGAGGCTGACCTCTAGAGACAGTGTAAAATTCTCCCTGGTAATACGTAGAATATGTAGTGTGAAGAAATGTGGAAGACCTTCCCTACTTTCCCACTGAGTCCTGAGTATTTGTGAGCATATAGCATCACTCTCAGACATGCCAACGTGATTCCACTTCTACCTGGGGCTGTGGTTTACTTCCTTCAAACAGGCTACCAACAAGCAGTACATCCAGTAGAAAGAACGCTTGGCTGGGAGTCAGAATGAGGTCTGACCCTGGCAATGACATTCTTCCAGGTGGGTAGCTGGGCTAGTCACTTCACCTCTCTGGGCCTCAGTTTTCTCTTCTGTAGGATACATAGCTGAGATTCAATCCACCTCTGATTCTAAATTGGCCCAATTTCCCAAAAGCTACATAATTTCTCTTTACTGTAAAGTGGACTTCCTTTAATGTTAGCCTAGGCAATCAAATTGTTTCTGTCAATTTATGTATTATATATATTTGCCAGAAAGCAGAGGTGTTTCAAATTTCCACTTGCTTCACCCTAATATAGTGCATTAGGTCTGGGTCTCAATCAGATACCTTAAGAAACTCTTTAGACCAGTGGTTCTCAAGTGTGGTCCTAGGACTAGCACCATCAGCACAGCTGGGAACTTGTGAGAAATGCAAATTTTCAGACCCCACTCCAGACCTACTAAATCAGAAGCTCTGGTAGTGGGGACCAGCGACCTTTTTTACAAGCCTTTCAGATGACTCTGATGCACACTCAAGTTTGAGAGCGATTACTTTAGATCATATTATAAAATATAAACTGTAATATAATTTCAAAGAAAAATAAGCAAAGCTAACATAGCATTTACCAGGTATCATGCACAGTTTTAAATGCTGTATATATTTTAACTCATTTAACCCTTACAACAGGGCTATCAATAAGTACTATTATTATTTCACGTGATGGAAAGGAAACTGACCAAAGATGAGTATTATTTTCTCAAACCTTTTCAATCCGTCAGTCCTGGTAGAAAAAGAAAGTCTTCCCTTGCCCCTTTTCTAAATCCTGCCTTTTCCACTGAATTTTCCCCAACCTTTAGCTTTGTATGTTTATAAATTTACATTTGTATATTTGTAGATATTATGCATGTACTGGTTAATGGCTAGGCATGAAGGATCTGGATTCAGACTGCCTGGATTTGAATAGTTCCTCCAACTAAGCAGCATGTTACCTTGCACAGGTTACTTAACCACTTTAAACCTCAGATTCCTTCAAGCATAAAATGAAGATAATATGAACTCCCTCTTAGAAGTCTTGTAAGGATTAAAATACAGGATAACACATAAAGTACAACACTCAATAGATTTTAGTTATTATTAGATCTGGTCTCTTACCCTTTAACATTACTTAGTTTTGTGTACATTTCTGTGTCTTTTTAAGGTTAGCCTTCTTTTTACTCTAAGCTTCTGGAAGAAAAGGAAAAATTAATTTTAACCTGTCCTTTTAACCAGGACTACTCCATTTCTGACTAGAACTTTATGGGTGTTGCTGTTTGGCAAACAAGGTATGCCTTGTTTTCCTGATTTAAGCTGATTTTTTGGATATCCCATTTTACCTAGGTTTGGGTAGGATCCCAGTTTAACAGGATTGGGCCATAGATCCTGGGAGACTGGATAATGATCTACTCATTAATTCAGTCTCCAATAATTTGTGCTATGTTCAAAAATGAATGGAACTGCAATAACATTTACTATTATTTAGGAAACATTATAGATGGTACAAATCAATAATAAAAGTAATATTTTGATAAAATGTCTAATATACTTAAGAGAAAATCTTTAAATTTAAAAAAATCAGTGCTCTAAATTATAAACTCTTTGACTTATTATGAAAACATGTGCCTTATATGTTTGGATTTTTCAAGAGAGTTCTTATTGTTAATATTCTATCCCATTGTCAGATCATGTATCAAAGTCCATGTTTTTGTTTTTGGTTCAGGAAATATGATTATCACCTCCACATAGAGTCTACTAGGCAGCATTTTGTTAACTACTTCTTTCACTTTCAAGTCTATAATTCAGACTTTTTATAATTTTAGCTGGATCTTTCCTCAACTAATCAAAATAGTGAGGTTTTACTATAGTGATAATAATCATCATTATATTTAAAATAGTAGCCAATTTTTAGTGAGAGCCAGACACTGCTGAGAGCTTTAGATTATTATCTCAAGTCCTAACAACAACTCTGTTAAGCAGGTATTATTTTTAGCCCCATCTACAGAAGGAGAATCTAAGGTACAAAAAAGGTAAAGTAACTTGCCCTCAGTGATTAATCCAGTGTGTGTTGATCCTTAACAGATGATGGCATGTTTGTGAAACAATCTTGGAGAAGTTTGGTGGTGACTTTGGGATGTTTCCTAGATGCGTTCTTTTATTAGCAACTGTTAGAAGCTTTGTTTTTATACTTTATTAATAATAATGTGGTGCCTTTTTAATATGTCTTTATAAATGCTTGCTTGACCCAACAATTAAACATATGTTTGTGTAACAAGGATTACCTAGTCTTGCAATCAAAATTAGCTTTTTAATGAGTTTTGGAAATCATATTTCAAAAACCTAACAGTTATATTTTAACACCAACCTTGGAAATACTGGAGCTAA